TGTTGCTTCATCCAAAAACTTTTGTTTGATTTTTCTTGTATTTTTCTTTTTCGAGGTACAGAATCTTTTGAACCAATTGATTGATCACGCTTCTAGCGTATTTGAAATTTTTTTTGCTATAGCAGATTATCTTTTAGGGACATCAATTTTTGTTGAAATATTTTCTACTGAAATATATGACTTCGTCATTTTTCTTGTATCAACAAATACATCAGGTAATCGATTTACAACTCTTTACAAATGAATGATTTTTTTCAATATCTTGTTCGCATTGATTGTTGCAGGATCAAAGTAAGATAGGGTTGTTTCATTCCAAGAAATTTTACCTTATTTTTTAGGATGTAGTTTTTCCCCTTTCAAAGTTAGGAATCATTTCATGAAAATGACAATCTTCAAAATGTGCTATAAATAAATCACCATTTAAATGTTCAAAATACCTAATAATATATGGTTAACCAAAACCTACATAAAATCATAAGTCTCCATTAGGGGCCTATTTTAGTACGTTGTAGGGAGCGAAATAGGACTTGGCCCGTAGATAAGAAATATTTTGTTCATGACCAAATGCGAGCTACAAATGTAATTATTGATAATAAGTAATTGGTCTAATACGAATCAATGATGCAATATGTAATATGACATACCCCCAAAGAGAAGTTAGGAGTTTTGTTTGCATAAGTAATAGTCTAGCAATAAGTTATAGACGTTTAATAAACTACTCTGCTAAATCATTTTGTATATGAACATGCGAAACTGAATGTTTAAAACAATTCCAATTGACTTGTAATAATCATCAAATGCGTATGACCTAAATTCACTAGCATTATCAAGATATATAGTCTTGATTGAGTAATCAAGTAATTGAGCTCGTAGTTTTATGATTTGAACAAGTAGTTTAACGAAGGCTACATTCCTATTGAAAAGTATGCAAACATGTGATCATCTAGTAAAAGAATCAATTAACACTATAAAATAACGAAATAGTCCACATTGTGAGTGTATTGCCCACATATATCTCAACGAATTCAATATTGACATTTATAGTCGAAAGTCTAATAACTAACTTACCAAACTAACAAACTAGACATAAATAATTATTAGGAAAAAGAATGTTCTGGTTCTCTAAATGATATCCATATGAGTTGTTTATTATTCAGTGCATCATTATAACTCCTGAATGTCTAAATGGATCATGCCAAAGTATAAATTTTTTGGGTCAATGAACTTCTGCTTCTTGACAATATTTGATTCAACTATTTTTATAAATATATAATACATGACAGATGAAAGTGCATGAAAATTTTCTTTTATCTACTTCTGACCAGATACAAAAGAAGTTATTTAAATATATCTATTGCAATGGATTTGCTAGAATAGAGCGCATCGTCAATATATAATTTTATATTATTTGGTAAAATAATACAAGCTCTTCTGAAGTTAAATCCAAAAAATATTTTTTTGTCTTGAATAATAGTATATATAGTTGCACTATCAATCAAGTAGGTGTCTTGACAACCCATCATGAATCTATAAATCTATTTAAAATAATTTGAATTTAAATTTAAAAAGGTAAACATAATTCAAGTCTGTGAAATTAACGATGCATAATAAAAGTTTCATTTTATTTTATTTATTTATTTATTTTATTTTTTTGCAAAAAGTGAAAACATATTTCAAACTAAATTTTTAAAATAAATGAAAATACTAGAAATATAGAAAATAAGCTAATTTATATCTTCCATCACACCACTCCCAATCAAATGATCAATATTTTCATTTGGTCAATAAAGAAATCGAAGACATCCAAAGGAGTTATATCAATGGGACCATCATAATTCGTAAAATTTGTCTCCACTTTTTTCCTTTCCTATGATTGATTTTTGATAAAGATCCACAAGTTATTTTACCGTACGACATGTACGTGCCCAATGTCCTTTCATTCCACATCTAAAGCAATTTTATTCGTGCTCCTTTTTAGATATGTTACTTTTGTTTGCTCAAAGCCTTTTGAAATTTTTTCCTTGTTATTGATAGCTTTATTCATTATTTCGTCATGATTTATTTCATGTGCAAGTTCACGTCTACATCCAAATCCATGTCCACATCCGCGGGTACGTCCATGTCTACATTTTTGTCTTGATATTGCATTTGCTTCAGGTAATGGTATAGACCTAGTCAGACATAATTTACGATTTTTCATCAGTAGTTCATTATTTTGTTCAGCCACAAGTTGGCAAGATATGAGTTCTGAGTACCTTTTGAAATCACGCTCATGAAATTGCTGTTGCAACGGCACATTTGAGACATGAAAGGTGAAAAATATTTTCTCTAACATGGCTTCATCAGTGATATTTCTTCATACAAAGATAATTTTGAACATATTTTAAATAGTTCAGAATTGTATTCACTAACAGTTTTGAAGTCTTCAAGGTGCAGCCACTCGTAGCAAGCTTTGAGGAGGACTATAGTCCTCTGATTATCTAATATTTCAGTTAGTTTTTTCCAATAAATTTGTGGAGCTTTCTTAGTAAGAGATTCAATTTTTAATCCATCACGAAGATAATGATACAGCACCCAGCTAGAAACTCGGGTCATCGAATTCTCTTGTGATTGGTCGACGAGGTCGATGGCCATGTGTCAATGTTTTTCTCAGGTAATGATGACCTACAAGAGATTTGAGGATCAGGTCTTCGGATTGGTGGTTATGGGCGGTGATGACGTCACTTGTCGCAAGTGTATATGATTGACAGGGTGATGTGATAGGAAGTAATCATGATGTTTTTCTGAGATAACGACGGGCGAGTCCGAGTTGGGAGCAGTGACCGAACTCACACCTGCCTGAGGTGGAGTTAGCGAATTGTTTTTGTTAGATCGGAGTTCGATTGTCAACATCATTATTTTCAAAAATTTGTGTTTCTTCAAGAACCATATTTTCAATATTTGATTAATCAATATTTTTTAATGTTGCTTCATCCAAAAATTTTTGTTGGATTTTTCTTGTATTTTTCTTTTTTGAGGTACAGAATTTTTTGAACCAATTGATCGATCACGCTTCTAGCGTATTTGAAATTTTTTTGCTATAGCAGATTATCTTTTAGGGACATCAATTTTTGTTGAAATATTTTCTACTGAAATATATGATTTCGTCATTTTTCTTGTATCAACAAATATATCAGGTAATCGATTTACAACTCTTTACAAATGAATGATGTTTTTCAATATCTTGTTCTCATTGATTGTTGCAGGATTAAAGTGAGATAGAGTTGTTTCATTCCAAAAAATTTTACCTTATTTTTTAGAATGTAGTTTTCCTCCTTCCAAAGTTAGGAATCATTTCATGAAAATGACAATCTTCAAAATGTGCTATAAATAAGTCACCCTTTAAAGGTTCAAAATACCTAATAATATATGGTTAACCAAAACCCACATAAAATCATAAGTCTCCATTAGGGGCCTATTTTAGTACGTTGTAGGGAGCGAAATAGGACTTGGCCCGTAGATAAGAAATATTTGGTTCATGACCAAATGCCAGTTACAAATGTAAATATTGATAATAAGTAATTGGTCTAATACGAAGTAATGATGCAATATGTAATATGACATACCCCCAAAGAGAAGTTAGGAGTTTTGTTTTCATAAGTAATAGTCTAGCAATATGTTATAGACGTTTAATAAACTACTCTGCTAAATCATTTTGTATATGAACATGCGAAATTGAATGTTTAAAACAATTCCAATTGACATGCGATAATCATCAAATGCGTATGATCTAAATTCACTAGCATTATCAAGATATATAGTCTTGATTGAGCAATCAAGTAATTGAGCTCGTAGTTTTATGATTTGAACAAGTAGTTTAACGAAGGCTACATTTCTATTGCAAAGTATGCAAACATGTGATCATCTAGTAAAAGAATCAATTAACACTAAAATAATGAAATAGTCCACATTGTGGGTGTATTGCCCACATATATCTCAACGAATTCTTTTCAAGAAAGTTGGAGATTCAATATTGACATTTATAGTCGAAAGTCTAATAACTAACTTACCAAACTAACAAACTACACATAGATAATTATTAGGAAAAAGAATATTCTGGTTCTTTACAGGATATCCATATGAGTTGTTTATTATTCGGTGCATCATTATAGTTCCTGAATGTCTAAGTGGATCATGCCAAAGTATAAATTTTTTAGGTCAACGAACTTCTGCTTCTTGACAATATTTGATTCAACTATTTTTATAAATATATAATACATGACAGATGAAAGTGCATGAAATTTTTCTTTTATCTTCTTCTGACCAAATATAAAAGAAGTTATGTAAATATATCTATTGCAGTGGATTTGCTAGAATAGAACGCATTGTCAATATATAATTTTATATTATTTGGTAAAATAATACAAACTCTTCTGAAGTTAAATCCAAAAAATATTTTTTTGTCTTGAATAATAGTATATGTAGTTGCACTATCAATCAAGTAGGTGTCTTGACAACCCATCATGAATCTATAAATCTATTTAAAATAATTTGAATTTAAATTTAAAAAGGTAAACATAATTCAAGTCTGTGAAATTAACGATGCGTAATAAAAGTTTCATTTTATTTTATTTTTTTGCAAAAAGTGAAAACATATTTCAAACTAAATTTTTAAAATAAATGAAAATACTAGAAACATAGAAAATAAGCTAATTTATATCTTCCATCACACCACTCCCAATCAAATAGTCAATATTTTCATTTGGTCACTAAAGAAATCGGAGACATCCAAATGAGTTATATCAATGGGACCACCATAATTCGTAAAATTTGTCTCCACTTTTTTCCTTTCCTATGATTGATTTTTGATAAAGATCCACAAGTTATTTTACCGTACGACATGTGCGTGCCCAATGTCCTTTCATTCCACATTTAAAGCAATTTTATTTGTGCTCCTTTTTAGATATGTTACTTTCATTTGCTCAAAGCCTTTTGAAATTTTTGCCTTGTTACTGATAGCTTTATTCATTATTTTGTCCATAACTTATTTCATGTGCAAGTTCACGTCTACGTCCAAATCCATGTTCACATCCACGTGTATGTCCATGTCTACGTTTTTGTCTTGATATTGCATTTGCTTCAAGTAATGGTACAGACCTAGTTAGACATAATCTACGATTTTTCATCAATAGTTCATTATTTTGTTTAGCCACAAGTTGGCAAGATATGAGTTCTGAGTACCTTTTGAAATCACGCTCACGATATTGCTGTTGCAATGGCACATTTGAGACACGAAAGGTGAAAAATATTTTCTCTAACATGGCTTCATCAGTGATCTTTCTTCATACAAAGATAATTTTGAACATATTTTAAACAATTCAGAATTGTATTCACTAACAGTTTTGAAGTCTTCAAGGTGCAGCCACTCGTAGCAAGCTTTGAGGAGGACTATAGTCCTCTGATTATCGAATATTTCAGTTAGTTTTTTCCAATAAATTTGTGGAGCTTTCTTAGTAAGAGATTCAATTTTTAATCCATCACGAAGATAATGATGAAGGAAGATTGGTGTTTTTACATGACTGTGCAGGAATTCTTTGTTTCCTTCTTTTATTGTATCTCTCAAACCTTTTGAAATAAGATTGATATTAGCATCGAACACTCATAACAGATAGCTTTTGTCTGATATCTCAAGTATAGCAAACTCAAGTTTTGTGATGTTTGCTATTTGATTAACTACACAATAAAGAAAATACAATTAGTTCGAAGAGTATGATTAAATATTATATAATAGTTAATCAAATAGTCAATATCAACATAATATGAGTTACGTATTTTCCTTTAGGGACCAACACTAATTTAAAATAATATGTTTTTTGGAACATGTACTACTTCGGGAGCACGTTGTATCATACATTACATTTTCAATAGCAATATGTCATTATTCTTTTAGAATATTGAAAAATTATAATTTATACTTTTCAAGAGCAAGTAATATACTTCAAGAATACTAATTATAATGTTGTGTTATTTCAAGAGGAACAACAAACTATTTATGATAGCCTCAAACCTTTTGAAATAAGATTGATATTAGCATTGAACACTCATAACAGATAGCTTTTGTCTGATATCTCAAGTATAGCAAACTCAAGTTTTGTGATATTTGCTATTTGATTAACTACACAATAAAGAAAATACAATTAGTTTCGAAAAGTATGATTAAATATTATATAATAGTTAATCAAATAGTCAATATCAACATAATATGAGTTACGTATTTTCCTTTAGGGACCAACACTAATTTAAAATAATATGTTTTTTGGAACATGTACTACTTCGGGAGCACGTTGTATCATACATTACATTTTCAATAGCAATATGTCATTATTCTTTTAGAATATTGAAAAATTATAATTTATACTTTTCAAGAGCAAGTAATATACTTCAAGAATACTAATTATAATGTTGTGTTATTTCAAGAGGAACAACAAACTATTTATGATAGATAGATATACGTTTAATATTCTTCTGAAATATTAATTATAATATTGTGTTACTTCAAGAATAACAACATGATACTCGCTTTAAAGGTTATACACGAATAAAAATAATTGATGAAGTTAAGGATAAAAATAGTATTCATGAAAATATATATGTAAAAGAATCATGATTAAATATCACCATTGCAGCAGAAGATTTGTGTAGAATTTAAAAGCATGATTAATTAACAAAAATTAAAGCATGATTAATTAAAGCATAATGAAAAGAAAAAAAAAAAAAAACCAGGTACACCTAATGATTGCAACGACGAAATCAACAGACTAAGGTAAACGTTTATATATAATTAAGAGAAATTGAATTAGCAAAAGCAAGAGGTTGGGTGTACAAGAAACAAATTGTGTTGAATTGGGCGTAATCATTACCGACAGAAGCATAATACGTTGGCAGTAACATTATTGTTGCAGAACCATTATTTCACATGCATATGATTCCTAGCAACTAATTAATGAATTTAAACATATGTATATATAAAATTCACATGTTACCAATTTAATTTTGGTACGTGTGATAAATATTTATGCTTATTAAAAATTACTCCTTGTTGCTAAACTTTAAATAATTGAGCTTTCGTACTGATAACTTGTTATGAAAAGAGAGAAAAAAGAAGAAAATTGAGAGAAGTCAATAGACTTGTGTGTATTTTATTAAGAACAAAAAACCCTATATTTATAAGAAAGAATGATGGATACAACGGTAATGATTTCTAAGTCTGTCAAGATACAACTGTTATTCAATAATATACTTACAATTTACAACACTAATTTTATTTTATTTATCAATAATTAAATATAGCCTAATCAAACATGTCTAATATCTCTGGATATATAAAACATATCTAATGAAGAAATCAATTAACCACAATCATATTGAAAATCAATGAAATTAATTGATCAATTTTTGGGTGATTCATAACAATTTTATAATCTATAAATGTCAATATATTCTTTGCAACAATGATCTTCATGCCATCTTCTTCTATATGCATCAAATTATCAAGAGTAACTGATAAATAAATTATGTAACTCAGTGTTCGTAATACCATAAAGTGTGACCACTTTGATGACTAACAAACAATACTAATCAAACATTAATTGCATAAGCAAAACATTTACATAAATGATTCATCAAAACTTTTGAATGAATCCCTTTTCATTGCAGCATGCTCATATAAAATTATAAGCATTTAAACCCCATATAAAAAAAAAAAAAAAAAATTCAAAATCTTAGCAGAGGAGTACCACCATTGTGTTTCTTGAATTAATTTAGTTTCATATGGCAATTTTATATTTTGCTTCCCCTTTTTCGTTAAAAGCAAGGTCCAATTGCCATTCAATTCATGAACAGTAAGATATCTTAAGGGTGGTGCATGGTGACTGTTCTATTCAAATAGAAGATCTGTAGTATCTTTGAGAAAGCTGCAGCTTTGTCAAGATTTTACAACTGGCACTTCGAATGCACATATTCAAAGTTTAACGAAGGAATGATTGTAGCCTTTTTTGACTTTCTGGTAATTCTCTCCCCGCTCCTCTTTATACGTTAATTTTTAATTTTAAACCTTAATCCATAATTCTATAAGAAAAAATTAAGTATCGATATGCGGAAAACTTTAATCTTTAAAGAAAAATCAAGAATTTCCTAAATTGGCTTGAAAAACACGTGAAAGCTATTTAATCCTAATACCAAAATCTTTAGAATTCTACAATTTTCACATATAAATAAATTGATCAAGAATCATTTATTGATTCATGATAATTTAATTAGAAGAATTAAATATGGGAAAGAGATACAAGAAAAATAAAGAAATTGTTCTTTTTTTTTTTCTCTCCGTAATTGATGTAATTAATTTGATGGGTTATATTCTCGCTTATAGATAGAAAGAAGCAGTTTCTCATTGAGCTTAAATAAAACTACTCACTTTCCATCGAAGTATGTGGTTATGTAACTGTCACTTCTGAATGGTCCAATTGACTTTTAAAAATATAAAATTACTTTAATTAATTCTTTAATAATATTACATGGATCACAATTGATTGGTCTTGCATATGTTTCACATGTTCCTTCTCCATTTGTCTTTGTTATCTCTTAAAAGTATTATTCCATGCATACGGGAAATAATGCTCAAACTCCATACAGGTTTTGGCAGCACCTGTATGGTGCATTTCCTGTCATGTTTGGGTCCAAAATCAATGAAAATTTTCCAAGTGTTAAATCTGTCAAAATTCGGTAAAATTTCCCTGCACCTATAGCACTGCTTCTCTTAAATATATCTTTTGCTTATATTGAAGGTACAAATCCTTATACTTTGCACTTCTTGATAATGTAATTCACTTGTGGCTTCTAAGTTCAGAGAGTTGGAGATTATTGGCTTACAAAATCCCTCCTTCACGAATGGAGATAGTTTTTTTGGTGGTGTGGCTGACTGAATGGATCACTAGCCTGGAGATAGTGGACTTATTTCTAGGGCTGGACAAAACTCCTGAATCAAGCTGAGCAATTATTATCAAGTCAAATACTCGAACGGGTATCCAATTCAAGAACCAACGGGTTAGGTTTGATTCTTGGTTCTAGATCAAGAAACGAATCTTCCTAATTTTTTAAATTAATTTATTTTAAATAAATCAAATTATTTTATTTTTCTTTATAAATTTACTAACTAGTTAATTTAGTTCAAATCCAAAAATATGATTTTCCTATTTCTAATTTTCAGTTCAAAGTCAACTTAATCAAATTGATCTAAGTTTTATCCAATTTTGTTACTCTACCGTAGTGCTGTTTTTACTGTTATGGAGAAATCGAATTAAAGCTCGAAATGCATCTCTTAATTATTTTGCGCTCGTTATCTTTCTCTTAATGTAATTTTAACAATCAAATTTATGAAGAACTTAGCAAAAAGAGACGCAAAAGATACATAAAATTGAGTTTGTAAGAACTAAAATCGAACATGTCATTAGTTGAATTAATATCACTTCATAAATATTAAAAAACTTAATTATAATACGGAACCTGAAAATCGAATGAAACAGAACTCGAATGGTTCCATATTTAAATTTGAACCCAACGATTCCAGTTACGAAATACCCAAATATTTCAGGTCCAGTTCGATCCCTATTAAAACCGAACTGAAGCGGACCATGTCCAGCTCTACTTATTTCAATTAATCGTGTTACACATGTACATATGTAAAATAGTTTTCGGAAAATTAATTATTTTCAATTAAAAAGTTAATCTCCTTATATTATAATTGACAACTTTAACACGTGATTAGCATGATGTTCCCACCATGACTCGTAAGTCACGATACTATCATATAATAATATTTCGTTAACAAGAACTAAGTCGAATCGTACCATGTCTAGTTCTACTTATTTGAGTTAATCGTGCAACACATGTGCGTATGTAAAATAGTTTTCAGATAATTAACTATTTTCAATTAAAAAGTTAATCTCCTTATGTTATAATTGACAACTTTAACACGTCGTTAGCATGATATTCCCGCCGTGACTCGTAGGTCATGATACAGTCATATAATAGTATTTTGTTGTCAGCCCCACCCACCGTTATCTCAGAATCAAGATTATCTCTCTAGCAAGTGGCCGCGCACACAGAGTGACAGAGTGACATGGATGAAACAAAGAGGAAGGCCAAGGCAGTGGTAGTGGGAGGCAGCATAGCCGGGATATCATGCGCACACGCTCTTATCGCCGCCGGGTGGGATGTGGTGGTGCTCGAAAAAGCACGTTCACCCTCCACCGGTAATGCCACAGGTGCGGGCCTCGGAATCAACCCTTTGTCCCAGAAACTCATCCAGTCGTGGCTGAATCAACCGCAGGCTCTTGAATTGAACACCTTGCCTCTCACCATTGATCACGTGCGTAAAAAATCCTCAGTCCAAAAAACATTTGTATCAGTATCACATAGCAGAAGAATTTATATATTCATCTTTTCCTTTTGTTCTGATTTTATTCGCGAATTAACATATAAGTTTCTTGTTTAAGTCATCACTTGATGAACAATATTGGGAACAATGATTCTAGAGATTGATAGGCTGAAGATGAAGGTGGGAATGCTGACAAGAGAGTTTAAGCTTGGAGTTTATTTTTCTCTTAAAACAGCTCATTACCATTGATTTCTATGTTTATGGATTTACTTGGCTATTGCTAAACAAGAATAGGTGCATTCGAGTCCAGCTGATGATAAGGTCTTGGTGCTGTATAGATGCCGCGGCCTCTATTTTCTCATTAGATGCATCTTTGTAAATAAGTTGACCGCTTATGACGTTGCAACCTTACATAGCCTATTCATATTGTTTGCTTATCTTTTCGACTGCAAATTTTTCGGGAGTACTTTGTATTTATACATTATATCACTCTAATGCTCCTACTGAATAAAGAATTTCAGGAATCGATTTTGAGTATGAAAGGCTAAGATGTATCGACATGGGTACATGGGTTCGACACGATACATATCAGACACGTTGACACACTATTTATTGAAAAAGTACTGACACGATACATAGTCAACATGTTGATTATATTCTTTAAAAATATTGTATAAATTTAGTTTTATACTTTTTATAAATTTTTCTTTTTAAATCTTTTAAATATGAGTACTATTTGTTATTTAATAATCACTTTGAATTAAAAAATATATATATAGTAATTTTGATAAAGAAAAAAAATGAGTATCAGTATTCGACACGTGTTGGACACTGGCACATTACTTTAGTTGAAGTGTTTGTGCAACAAAGGTGAGAGGTGTAAGAAAAACCTTTTAATCATCTTCTTCAGTTCATTGTAGTGAGAACCTGCAATGGTAAGTGGAGGTGATTTTCACATTAAATAAAGGGCAATCAACATGTTTGCTTTTCGTGTTTTCCTTTTCATTCTTTCTTTTTTTTTTTTTTTTTTTTTTTTTTTTGGTTTTTGTATGGAGGATTAAATAATGGGGAGACGAGTACCTTGGGTCCTTGGCTCGTGTTGTTTCCTTCCTAATGCTGTCTGATCCAAGTGCAATTTTAACATGTTAGAACTCAATCCCTTCAAAATAGCCTTGGAATTATCTGTCTTTTCACTTGTAAATCCTTGTATAATCTTAGGATCTAGCAACTGACTGGGACAAGAAAACTACCAGGACATTGACGAGAGATGAAAACTTCAATTTTAGAGCAGCACACTGGGCTGATCTTCATCGCCTTTTGTACAATGCATTGCCTCAGGGAGTTGTTTTATGGGGGCATTTTTACCTCTCCTTTTGCGCCTCTGATGCAAAATCCGTGAAAGTTAGTGCTAAAGTGCTTGAATCTGGTGATACAATTGACATAGAAGGTGATATGCTTGTTGCTGCGGATGGTTGTCACTCTTCCATTCGTAAAACTTTACTCCCCGACCTTAAACTCAGGTTTGTGAATAAAAAAGATAGATACTTACCTTTTTGCTCTTGTTCTGCAATGAGAATTCAGAAACTATAGCACTTGGTTTCTTGCAATGACATTGTTTATGGTTAGATATTCGGGTTACTGCGCTTGGAGGGGTGTCCTCGATTTTTCAGAAAATGAGAAGTCAGAAACCATTCTGCAACTCAAGAAGGCATTTCCCGAACTTGGTAAGTGCATTTACTTTATCCTAGGAGTTGGAACTCACAGTATCGTTCACGAGTTATGCAACAAAAGGATGAACTGGGTTTGGTTTGTTAATCAACCAGAGCCAGATCTTGAGGTATGTTCTTGCTCTGATCCTTGTTTTGTATTATACCATGTTTTTTGCTATGACATTTAGATAGGAACATCGTCATGACGAGCAATCTTCTTTTATATAACTAAGGAAAACTCGGTTACAAAGAAAGTCAGCAGAGACATGATTGAAGAAATATATGAAGCGGCAGAGATGGTTTGGTTTCCAGAATTTGTGAAACTAATGCGGGAAACTAAAGAGCCTTTCCTGAATGCAATATACGATAGTGAGCCGCCAGAACAGGTAGTTTGGGACAACGTGGTTTTGATTGGTGATGCAGCTCACCCGGTAAGTCCTCATGGCGCGAGAAGCACAAACATGTCGATACTAGATGCTGCGGTCTTGGGTAAATGCCTTGAAAAATGGGGATTTGAGAATCTAAATTCGGCTCTCGAAGAATATCAGTCTATTCGACTCCCAGTCAATGCAGAACAGGTTTTGTTTTCACGAAGATTGGGACGTATGAAACAAGGTTTAGTTCTTCCTGACCGTGAGCCCTTCGATCCAAGAACAGCAAGTGAAGAAGATTGTGTGAAGCTGCAGCTAAGAAACATCCCTTTTTTCTCTGAAATTCCTTCTATATTGATGTAAAATGTATTCATGTAGTCGTTTGCATATTTATTAAGAAACAGATTTGGTTTGTTGTTGTTTTATTGATATGATGAGTAGCGCATGTCATGGTCGAGAACATTACTTGTGCTTTTGTAGCTTTTTTTGATGTATCCTGAACTATTTGACAACATCGGAGAAATCTCCTTGCATTTAGAAAATCTCACTATCTTCTCCTATATATAGTTTTGATTGATAATTGTATTGTAACGTCCCAAAAAATTTCGTCTAAGTTGATTTTATGAATTTCACAACCAAATTTTATACCAAATATTCGTATAATGTTGGTGGCCATGTTGGATAGAATTACTCCTGATAGCCATGTTGGATAGAATTACTTAATATTTTACTTAACTGATAGCCATGTTGTCTGGCATATAGATATAAAAGTATTAAGTTTGATTCATTGTCACAACTTTAAAAATAATTTTTTTGAATTTGAAAATAACATGTGCTCGAAGAATATAGTTTGCAAAATTGTGATAATTCAAATGCACATTTTCACCGGTTGCACATAACATTGAGAGCTTGCTTAATACAGCTATTTTTCGCTAAAATCCAATCAAATTTCATTTTTGCAAAAT